AGTACCATATTTTTCGGAGTATAAGACGCACCTTTCCCCCCCACCCCCTAAAAGGGGGTGAAAATTTAGGTGCATCTTATACATCAAATGTAGCCCCAGCCACCCTTTGGCCTCTGCCTCCCAGCAGCAAGCAGCAAGAAGAAACAGCTTGTTTCAGCTTCAGCACAGCCTAATTAGCACAAGTTGATTGGATCGGCCTCCTGACTGTCAGCTGTTTTGCTCTCAGCTGTTTTGCATGCCCTCTGCTGCTTGCTGCAAGGAGGTAAATTGCTGGGAGCAGATTTTTTTTCTTGTACTAATCAAGCTATGCTGAAAACGAGAATGAAAGTAAAGCAGGCTATTTGCTCTTTGCTGCAATGAGGCAAAATTGCTGGGAGGCAGAGACAGAGGCAGATTTCTTCTTCTTGTTTTCCTCACCAAAAAAGGTAGGTGCGTCTTATAGTCCAGAGTGTCTTATACTCTGAAAAATATGGTAGGTATTTAACAGGCATCTGAAGACAGAACAACTGGTTTCTCATAAGGGGAATCGAATTCCATATAACAGGGGCACAAGTAACTCTGAGATGACCCCTATTGGTTATGGCATTGCTGTAGAACCCCCTCTATTGAGGTCAATAATGACTGCCCAGGTCTGTAATTGGGCTGCCAGGTAGCCTGATCTCAGTATCCATAAGCAGCCAGTATGTTGGTTCAACACAGGAATAACAGTGGAAGGTCCTTCGTGCTCTCTGACCTTGTTACCTTGCAGATGTTTCATTATCCAAACTAGGTAACATCATTAGTGCTGGTAGGGAGCAGGGTTTGTTTTCTTTTTATATAAAATGGCTTGCCCTGTCAGTGTTAGTGGGGATGGTCGGTTGGGCTGTTTACTTTTAGCTTGTTTGGGAATTCCTTGATTGGGGCATTGTTTACTTCTTGGTTTCTGCTTATCTGGGTGCCGATTGCTGATGGGCAGGTGTTTTGAACTTTTTATTCCCTTTTTGGATGCTGGTTGTCCCTTTTGAATGGTATGTAGCTGTTGTTTATGTTTATGTTCTTGTTGATGGCTGATTTGTCTGGGTGCCAGGCTTTTAGGAATTCCCTAGCCTTTTTGGACTTGGCTTGATCTAGATCATCACAGTTTCCCAGTTGAAACTATGGTTAAGTTTCATATGTTGTGAAATTAAGGAGTTTTTCATCATGTCTTCAAACTGCTAGGTGGCCCACTCAATCTGGTTACTACACTTTGTATTGACTGCATTTTCCACTCCGAGAGCAATAATAGCCTCACATAGAATGAGAGCATTCTAGCATTCCAATAATTTAACTGTGCAATGGGAGCCACATTCAAAGATGACAGAGTGGGGAGAGGAAAACCCACAGGCACAAAACTAGTTGTAAGAGCAAGGCCCAGCTAGAAATGTGTTCTCTGAATTTTTTATTTTTTTAAAGAGCTTGGTAAATAGGGCAAAAGGAAGCCTCAGACTTCTGTGACTCTCAGTTGGCCTGGCCGATGGCAATGGCACTTCACAATAGCAATAGCACTTATATACCGCTTCATAGTGCTTTACAACACTCTCTAAGCAGTTTACAATATTCTGGGTCCTCATTTTACTGATCTCAGAAGGATGGAAAGCTGAGTCAACCTTGAGCCTGTCAGGATCGAACTCCTGACAGTGGAACGCAGAGTTAGCCTGCAATATTGCATTCTAACCACTAACCACTGAGACCATGGCTGTCACAAGAACAGAAGATAATTAAAGGAAGAAGACAAAGTTTTCCCCACAGGCTGAATTGGCCTAGTTACTTTAAGATTCTGGCCAAAGCATTTATATCCTAACTGGATTAAATCGGTACCTTTGTAACATATTACTTCTGAGGAGTTCCCTCCTCTGTTCCTGTAGACAGTAAATTAGTCTAACAGGATCCATTTGAGCAAATGCACAGAACAATATTTGACAGTAAGAAGCCTGTCAAAGACTAAGAAGTTTAACTTTTTCTCAAGTTGGCACCAAACCGCAAAAGGAGAGACAGGCTTTATGTTATACAGTAATTATTTAGCAGTAATTCCTTAATGTATCACTGCAGCTCTGACAGGGCCAAATGGTTCTGCTCTCTTTATGAAAGGGCTAAATTAAATATGGTGGTGGCTTCAGGAAAAGAGATTTGCAAGTACAGTTAGTCCTCAATTTACAACACTTCATTTAGTGACCGTTTGAAGTTCAAAAGACATAAGGATTGGGCCAACACAAGACTCCTACTGCTGTGCACTATCCTCCTGCCCCAAAACCTAGAAGAAAACTATATGAATAAAAGAAGAAGGAGAAGAAGTCTCAGATCAATTACTCTGAATAAATCAATATAGGCCAGTGTTTCTCAACCTTTGTAGCTTGAAGATGGGTGGACTTCAACTTCAGAATCCCCCAGCCAGCAGCGCTGGCTGGGGGATTCTGAGAGTTGAAGTCCACCCATCTTCAAGCTACAAAGGTTGAGAAACACTGATATAGGCTTTCATTGTAAAAGCTTGAAGCCACTTGCTCTGCTATGGGGATAATAGAATTACAGACGTTTTTTGAAATAAAAAATCAAGTCAACAGATAATGGTGAAGCTAAGTTTTTCTGGAAAATGTGCCCCCAAAGCAAAAATATGTTTGGTTAGCTATACCAAGATATAGAAAAATGGTGCTCAAGAATGTTCCAGGCATATTCAAGACTAAGCATTCCTTTCGCAACTCATATATGAGGAATGGGGAGGACGAAAAGTAACCTGATTTCTGATGAACTACATATTTCATAAGGGAGCACGGTGGCTCAGTGGTCAAAGACACTGAGCTCGTCAGCTGGAAACTGACAGTCCGGGTTCAATACCTGAACATGACACAAGAGAGTGAGCTCCCATTACTTGTCCCAGCTCCTGCTCACATAGCAGTTCAAAAGCATGCAAATGCGAGTAGATAAATAGGTACCCCCACCCTTTGGAATCAACTTCCTTTGGGGCTCCGGTTGGCCCCTGACCTTCGCACCTTTCGCCGTGAATTGAAAACCTGGCTATTTATGTCCCCCAGCCTGGACTGATGGGGTAGTATATTTTAAAATTTTTAAAACTTTTCATATTTTTATGTATATTGTTGATTTTAACAGTTGCTTGGTCGATGGTTGTTGTGAGCCACCCTGAGTCCTTGAAGATAGGGCGGCATACAAATTTTATAAATAAATAAATTATAAATAAATACCGCTTTGGTGAGAAGGTAAGAGCGTGCTGTGTGCCTCAGCCTATAGAAGCTTCTTTGGAAACCCTGGTTCCCTCAGCTAAGAGACAGAAATGAGCACTGCCCCCTAGAATCAGACTCAACTGGAAAGGGGAAACCTTTACCTTTATTTTTATATATTTCACAGCCGATCAAATAGCATGTGTAAAAAAAACCCTGAGGAATCTCACAAGTATCCATTTAGCAAGAATGCACAGTTTTTCTTAAGAAGGTAAGGAATCAAGGAAGGAAAAACCCAGAGCCCGAATTATGGAATTATCTTAAATTCTTGAAAAGTCCTGAAGGACTTCTAAAGTTTGATTATTTTCTCTGAAATCGGAGAAGGAATGAAGAAAAAAGGACAAAAAAATGCTCAGAAAGGCTCGAATGTAGAACTGGTAATTAAGAAATAATCAATCAGAAAGAGTAACATAAGGAGATTAAGCACCTGTTTGGCAGTTAATGGATGGAAGGAAGGAGAAAGAAAAATAATCAAATTTTGCCCAGGTTTAGCAGAGAATCCAGTTTCACTTGGGAAATCTGAATGAATATTGAAATCCACAGTGATCACACAGGGAAAGAATAGAATAGAATAGAATAGAATAGAATAGAATAGAATAGAATAGAGTAGAGTAGATTTTTTTATTGGCCAAGTGTGATTGGACACACAAGGAATTTGTCTTGGTGCATAAGCTCTAAGTGTACATAAAAAGAAAAGATTGGGGAAACACGGATGATTCCTTCTGATAGCCTTGGGGAATGGTAAAACCAGCTTGATATAATGGAATTCAAACAAATATGACCTTGGTTTAGGGAGGCAAGGGAGAACACAGACCTTCCCTTCAGTATCCAACTACTGTAGACAGAATGAGTTAAAGCAAGTATAGCTTATTGCTGTGGCAGTTGTTAAGTGCTGTTGACTCTAAGGGATAAAACAATATTTCAGATACAATAGATAAAAGCACGTGACCATCAAAAATATATGATAATAAAGCACTTTGAGCAACAAATAAATCCACTGAGTTCAATGGCAACTTACTTCACATCAAGGCTGAATGCAACTTATGTCTAAATAATGCTAATTCTACTTTTTTAAAAGTTTGATCTTGAATAAAGGTGACTGAAGCACAATGCAGCTTTGCTTGTGGCGATGGGCGCTTACATAAAAAAAGTGATGCAGGAAAAATACATCTTGGAATTGAAGGAGGATTCTATGATTATGTTTTACCACTCTGGCTGTTATAGTAGACAGGTAGCCCTCAACTTACAACAGTTCATTTACTGACCATTCAAAGTTACAACGGCACTGAAGAAAGTGACTTATGAGCGTTTTTCACACTTACAACCATTGCAGCATCCCTATGATTCTATAGGGATTCCATAGCATAGGGATGCTATGATGAAGCATCCCTATGATCAAAATTTAGATGCTTGGCAACTGATTCATATTTATGACGGTTGCAGTGTCCCAAGGTCATGGGATCAGCTTCTTCGACCTTCTGACAAGCAAAGTCAATGGGGAAGCCAGATGCACTTAACAACCGTGTTGCTAACTTAACTGCAGTGATTCACTTAACAGCTGTGGCAAGGAAGGTTGCAAAATGGGGCAAAATTCACTTAACCACTTAAATCGCTTAAAAACATACATTTTTGGGCCCCATTGGTCGTAAGTCAGAGTAAATACCATGGCAATCCACACAATTTCTGTCCATGAAATGGGCAGAAAGGAGAAATTAGGATCTGAAAGGAAGACATCAGCCAACATAGACTGACCTGATGTAGGGCGCCAACCATTTTGCGAGTCTCTTGATAGACCGTTTCGGAAGTCCAGTGGGGGTTCAGCTCCTTTAGGGCTTTTGCCAGGCGGTTGTGCTCTCGCAACCAGAGAGTGTGCAGAGCTGCCAAGGAAAGCACTTCGCTCGACCTGGTATCCCCAGCCATGAAGCACTCGATCCTTTCTGCTTTGTCCCCCCTTGGATCTTGGGCACAAGGAGAAGGCACTTGGTCAACAAAAGGAAGATATTCAAGCCCTTTATCAAAATGTAGCAGGTTAATTCTTAGGAGGCCTTCTCTGCTGGTCAGATTCTTCAGCTTGTTCTCCGCGGCAGCTGTGCTGCCATAAACAGTAGAGGCATCCAGGAAGGAAGTAACTATATTCATCTGTTGCCTTGGGTTTATCACCGATAGATTTCCTAACATTCCCTGTTGACCAGTGATACATGAAGGTGTTGAACGATAAAAAGGGATGCAATCCATTCTTGCAGAGAATGTATCATTGGGAAAGATCTGTGAATTGAATTAATTATTTTAATGAAAGAGCATAGCCCATTTTTATCACATTGTGGATCAGATTTATTAAGTTTAGAATAAAAGGAGGTATAAAACCACACATACAGTATTAATAGAAAGGTGTTTGCTACAGTAGAAAGTCTTCTCCTGTACAAATTTATAATCCTTGGTGCAACTTCATTTTACAATTCATCTCCATTTTTACACAGTGTTTTGTAGTAAGGCCCAGTGCATATACCAGGGATCAGCATGAGTGAAAGGCCTCTTTTGAATAGCAATAGCACTTGGACTTATATACCGCTTCACAGTGCTTTACAGCCCTCTCTTAGCGGTTTACAGAATCAGCCTATTGACCCCCAACAATCTGGGTCCTCATTTTATCCACTTCGGAAGGATGGAAGGCTGAGTCAACCTTGAGCCTGAATGGATAAGGACTTTTTCTAATTTGGCACAAGGAATAGTAATCACAGTTCAGTCTTTTGCCTAAAATCCGATCTGTGATCTTTTTCTAACAGTGGCAAAATAGTTCACAGAAAGCACTTCCCCTAACCCATTGGTGGCTCTATCTGTAGATCTTAGAATGTCACATTCTTTATTAGGGGTGCAAAAAAAAAATCATTGGTTTCTTTTCATAGTGGTGCAGTGGCTTAGAGGTAGAGCTCTTGCCTCACAATCAGGAGGCTGTGAATGTTGTGGTCCACCAGCAGCCTGCGGAGCTGGCAGCAGAGTCGGACAGCAATAAGGCTGAGGAAGAACATGGGCCAGTCCTGGAGGCTGGGGAAGGCCCAGATGAGGGCTCTGCATCGGAGGCAGAGTTGGGGCCAGGGCCATCGGGGAGTGATGTGCAGACTTTGGAGCATCCAGAGCCTGACAGTAGAGAGGCAGAGGAACATATGTTCCTACTGCACATATGAGATGAGCTGCCAGAAGGCAGGAGCAGCTAAAGCAGAGAGGATGACTCGGGAGTAGGACCAAGAGATGATTGGCCCCTCCCATAAGGCTTAAAAGACCAGCAACGGCTCTTGGCCTCTTTGCCGGAAAACAACTGTTGAGAGAATTGCTTCTTGTTTGGCTATAGTTATTTCTTCTGTTCCCGAACTGTTGCCAAGAAAAGCCTTTGGCAGTTTGCTTAATTATCCCAAGGTCAGAGATAAACTAAAGACTGGTGTTTTAAGGACTTTGCTTTCATGTCATTTAGAATATGCTGAGAATGAGTTAATTCTCAGCTGTTTTAATAAAATCTGTTTGTTTTTTGGAACTGTTTTGCACTTAATATCAACTACGTGGGCCTAGGTCACAACAGTGAGTTTGATCCTAGGTAGCGGCAGATATTTCTTTCACTGGGCATAATGAGTAATTATCTGCTGCGAACTCTGCATTGGCGACAGGAAAGGCATCTGGCAAGTAAGCTCCATTCAGTTGCCCTGACTCCACCCCAATGTAAGGGATTACGGGGTCATTAAAAGACAAAAAAAAATTGTTTCTTTTCATATTTGGCATAAAACACACAGAGATATTTATACTTGTTTTGTTTATAAAATGGGGGAATAATATCTGAGCTGAGTTGCAAAATTCTAGCTGCAGAAAACTCAGGTCTTTTGCGGACATCCAGGGATTGTCCAGTTATTTGAAACACACATTTGGGTAGCTGTAGTTTAAGGTGCAGATTTTTTAAAAAACAAAATATGCAAAAATGTTGGTGGTGGTGCGGACTTAATAAATCTAAATAAATAAACCAGGAGCACGGCAGATAAAAGGAGAGGATTTAACTCTTTCCTTTGATCTGTGGTCTTAAAGGAAAATTCTCTAAATGTCAGCTGCTTTGTTGGCTTTATTTCTCTTTCCAGAGGGGAATTTCAAGTGAGAAGCCTTTTGTGGCAGAGCAAGTTGTCATACGCCACAACTGGGAATGTCTTTTCTGCCGTGTTATGCATGAACAAGTTTTATTTCTTTTTTTAAAGAACTCCTTTGTGTAGTTAGTGGAGTCATACCGAAAGAAAGGAGAAACAGACATTTCATGATCTCCATGGAGGAGAAACCATTCTGTATGTAGAGGGAATTCTTATACAGGTAGTCCTCGACTTACAACACTTCATTTAGTGACCATTTGACATTACTGAAAAAAGTGACCATGTTTCACCCTGACAACCATTGCAGCATCCCTGTGGTCAAGTGATCAAAATTCAGACGCTTGGCAACTGACTCATATTTATGACGGTTGCAGTGCCTTGGGGTCATGCAATCGGATTCTGCGATGTTCTGATGAGCAAAATCAATGGGGAAGCCAGATTTACTTAACAACCGTGGTATTAACAACTGAAGTGATTCAATTAACAACTATGGCAAGAAAGGTTGTAAAATAGGGTTGTAAAACTCACTTAACACATGTTTCACTTAGCAACAGAAATTTTATACTCTATTGTGGTCGTAAGTAGAGGACTACCTATATTTGGCATCTTTGGAATATAACCTAAAGTGCAGGAATTCTGCAATATTCAGAAGCCTTCCTTTTTTGTCACTGTGGAAATCAATTGGTCAACTCAGCTGTGGCTGAATTCCTGAACTAAGATGTTATACTTTCCCATTTCCAGTTACTTCGTAGGAGGAAGGTGTCACAAAGAAGTGTTGATTAAGTTACATCTAACATTGCCATTCTTGTATATTACCTTTGTTCTGATTATTAATATCAGTAAAGTTGCAGGAGATAAAGAAAACAATGTAGATTTCCCTACAGCTATTTTGGTGGAGCTGAAAATGTTAAGCTAAAATACGTTTACACATTTGGAACTACCCTTAATATTATGTCATGAGATTTTTATCATTGTGGTATCAAAATAAGTGGTGTTGCACAACAGTTTTTACACTGGAACATCTTATTTTTTTCATTCAGGGGAAATACATTGGGGCTGCCAGGTATAGTAAGTATGGAATTCTGTCATAATTCCACTGTCTGTTAAATGCTAATAGAAGAATTCTTCTGCTAATGATTTGAGGGTGCATGTTCAGCTTTATCCTTAATTATTAGGAGAAAATATTTCTAGCTATTTAACTATAGTTATCACAACGGCAATTTAAATAAAATATAATTCCCATCCTGCCTTTAGAAAAATTAATTACTATCAGGACATCAAATAGCTACTAGCTATTAAAATCTATCTCAGAATTATAATTATCACATTCAAGAGGATTCTTCTGTTTTGATGGAAGAAATTCATTCTTCTGAGGTACTTTTCTTATTCTTAATCTTCAAAGAAATGATATATTAAATGGAGATTGATAGAACAAAAAATTAGGGACCAATTGCATAAGAGGTGAGGAACTCACCTGAGCCTTCATTTATATTTATTTATTATTTATTATATTTTCACTTTCCCCCCCACCCATAATAGTATTCTTGACCATTGGGTTAATTAGACGGGCAAAAAGCTTAGAATCTGTATTAGCATTTAAACTTGGGATATTTTTATTTCAATGTTGCATACTTTTTAACTCTATATGTGTTCATGTTTAGGGTGAAGTAAACATGTATAAGTATATACATATGTATGTATGTATATATGTATATACATACTGTATATGTGTTCATGTTTTGGGTGGAGTAAACATGAACACAGTTTACTTCACGAAAACCAAAATGTGTAGTTGTTTAACTTTGACTCAGCATGTTACTACTTTATGGCTTAGTTTATTCTGTGAACTCAGCCAACGATGTCTTGTTTAATAAGCCATGGTTAATCAAATTAAAATATTTGAATACAGCCAAAGGGTTGTAATGGCTTGTCAGTTTGACAAGACATAAAAGAATGGAACAAATTGCTATAAAACACCTATTATGTCTCCTATGGATGTTGTGGAATAAATGAATCTACCCCTCAATTACCTAATACAAAGTCAAGATATCTAACCAAATAACCAAATCCTGTCTGTGTCCTTCATAGGATAACATCTGTTCCCATTAGATTAAAGCAAAATGGAGATATCTCGGATGGATTTCTTGAATGTAAAACATATCCTCAAACCCAGAGGGACAATTTTCATTACAGGTTGGCTGGATTTTCATTATAGCTGGTAGGTCCCTGAAGAAGGATTGATATTTCCTCAAAGGACTCCCTTGTTTTTAATAACCATGCTGTGCAGGATGGCGAGGCTTCTGAATATGCTCACCACTGGAATTTCATACGTCAAATACATCTGCTTGCACTGATAGGCTTCAAAGGACACCACTTGAAGGCCTTCAAGAGTGAAGTAGTTTAAGTAGATACAAGCACACATATGTAAAAAAATGCAATGACAGATTATTTGGTCACATCCAGATGCACATCTGTGAATGGGACTCTTTTTATTTAAAAGTAAATAAATTTTTTTTAAACCGTACCTGTATTGGAAAGCATGGATTTTGGTTTGCACAGGTCAGTTGGCAATTGATGGCTCCCTGGAAGGAAGGTCGGTTTTCACTTTGGGGAGTAAAGGCAAGGTCATGGTCTATATATTGGCCCCATACAGTGATCAGATCAGAATATAACTCATCTTCAGTGACAGCCTCATTAGACGCCTCAATAATTTTTCTCGTCACTTCACGTACCTGGAGGACAATGAGTTAACAAGTCACCATGTTAGTACTTTTTTTCCCCTAATGTTATCCCATCCCTGAAAAAGCCTCCACCCCCAAATTGTTGGCTTTTTTCTTTATGTTTTGACAGAGCGGCGCTTACATGCAGGTGTAGGAGTTGGACATCACAGAAGGTTGAATTACATATTTACCAGAACGTTATCCATCCTTTAGTATCTTAGGGATACTATGTTCTGCCCCAGCTACGGACCCCAAAGAACGCAGCACACACAAAGTCTGTACAAACCTTAGTTTACTAAATTAAACAGTTTTTTTTCCAAACAATTAATTAACTTCCTTAACAGCCTACAAGAATCCAAAGAATAAATAATCTTAATCTTACTATGGATGGCAGAAAGCCCAGAAGCAATTTGCAGAGAACTAAGATCAAGGCACGAAGGAGAGTGAATGAAGTTGTTCCCTGCAAATTGCTTCAGTCAGCGTTCCTCCTTAAATAGGCTAAGGGAGTGGCCAATTACCCCCAAGCCTTACTCTCGAGGAGACCTCCTCCTGAGGAGCCACTCCTGCCTTTTGGCAGCTCTGCATGCCTGTGCATTGAGAAGAGGCTCCTCCTCTTCATCCTCTTCACTTAAGGGAGCTTCTGGAGGTTCTGAAGGCCCTGGCTGAGTCCCCGCCTCTGGCACCACATCTTCTCCAGCCTCATTGTTCAACTCGAGTGCCAGCTGCATAGGCTGCTGGTGCAGCACCATACTAGCCTCCTCGCTGTCCGAATCAGCCACCAGCCACACAGGCCCTATACGGGCCACAACATACTACAAGATACAAGGCTTAGTATCTTGAGGGAGACTCACATAACTTGATTATTTGGTAACTACTAACTGTGCTCCTATATATGGCTACTCAGAGGTGACCTCCATTTAGTTCAATGAGACTTATGTTCGGATACAATTACACTCTAAGGCAGGGGTAAAATCTACTTACCTTCCTTACCAGTTCGGAAGTGCACGCATCACGCATGTCACATGTGCACGCAGACCTTCTGCACATGCGCAAAACACACATTACTTCCTGTTTAATGTGTAAAAAACACATTACTTCCTGGTTAAAACCAGGAAGTAATGACACCCGGGTGGGTGGGCGGAGCTTCACTCCGCCATTGCTACCAGATTGCCAAACCACCAGCCAAGATCGCTACCGGACTGGGCAATCCGGTCCGATCCAGGAGCATTTCACCCTTGCTCTAAGGGGTCTTACATAGCATCCTCAATCATATAATGAAAGTACTTCTATCCACCAAAAAAAAAAGATGGGAAAGAAACTGGAAAGCACAGCTTCTGAGGGGAAGGGTTGCTTTCTGGCACCTGGATGAGAGCCTAGAAGCAGTCAGGCAATCAGATATTTGTCTTTCAGATGGTATTCATGCAGGTCCAGAGTCTCTTTCCCAGACAGAAATACAGAGGTTGTCTTGCCTGTGATGCAATGAAAGATTGGCCCATTATGTATAGGATATTGTTAATGGTTAAGATACTGGGCTTATCGACCAGAGAGATCCAAGAACTGCATGAACAGGGTGAGCTCCCATTCCTGCCCCAACTCTTTCCAACCTAGCAGTTCGATATCATGCAAATGCAAGTAGATAAATAGGTACCACCAATGGGAAGATAACAGCATTCTGTGCACTTCGCATATAGTCATGCTGGCCATGTGACCACAAAAACATCTTCAGACAATGCTGGCTTCCTTGGCTAAAAAACAGAGATGAACACTCCCCCCTACAGTCAAACATGACTGGACAGGGGAAATCTTTATCTTTTCAGTTTGTATGCTCTAGCTGTGCAATGAGCAAGCACCATGTTTTTTTTGTTCTAGTATTGGTGCCGATGTTATACAGTATGTATAGACCTCCTTTCTACAATTTGCATTTTCTGCATGCAACGTGTGGAAGTAGCAGTGTTCACAGATTGGAGAGGAACAACTCTTATTCTAATATGTTCACAAAGGTGTAAAATCGAATACATCTATCCAGTCCCTAATCATATCTCCTTTTTTCCATTCATTAGAAACAAGGCCACAATTTTCCATATATCTAATGTTCATGAATGAATAATTCCATATCAGCATTTCCCCTGTCAATGGAATCTTGGCTAGAAAGGATGGGAAGCACCATCTAGAATCTTTTCTTTGTGAGCTTCCTAACCCTTACCTCATGCAGCACATCTTCTATCATTCAATCTGTGTCTCTCCAGATATTGATGAGGGCAACATCTCAGCAGTGTGGAAAAATATGAGGACTGCTAGGAATTTTAATTTACCAACATACAGAAGGCTGAAACTCATCCCTATAATCCTATAATCTACGGATTAGAAGACAGTACACAAAGTTGCCCCCAGCATAGGGCTCATCAATCTGAAAGAATCAACTTGTCTTTCCATATCCTAAACAATGTCAGGGTTTTCACTCTGCAACTGAACATGAAGAGAGTGACAAAAATGAAAGATGTGCAATGGCACTTTGGTACTCAACTGTTTTGAAACTCATCGGATTTGGTACTCAATACATTTTGACATGAACATTTTGTCCCAGTACTCATCATTTGTTTGGTACTTGATGCACAAATTGGAATTTGTCAGTGTCGGCTGCCTTGTGACTCACTATATTATTCCTTATGGGAAAAAATTGTTTGGTGCTCATCGTTTTTAGGTACTCATTGCACCTCCAGAAACCAATTAATGGTGAGTACCAAGGTACGACTGTTGTAGTACCTAAACTCCGTTTCTTGAACTTTTTATGTTGGTATATGGTACATATCATCCTCATGAAGACTTTTCTGCTCTTCATTACCTTTGGAACTGCTTTGTCTCTTTTAGGCTGAGTTTGATTACTGTTAATAGCTGCTGTTTGACTATGTTTGTTGGATTGAATGTTGTTGAATTATAGAAAGTTACTTCTCAACATGTTTCCTTATTTTTTTTTCTTGCCTGGAAGCTTATGTTTCAGCAAAGTAAAGATGCCTACTAAGCAACTTTATTTTGAAAAATGATTTCGTCCTGTACTGACCGAAGGCAATGGAAATCCATTATGTAAGAAACCGAGATTCCATCCTCTGGGCTGACTTAGTTCATCTTCATAAACTGGAGGAAGCCATCTAGCTAGAGCAGTGTTGGAAGCTCCCCAAGTAGGATGTTCCCTATGTAATTAAAATAATTAAATTAAAATAATTTATATCATTACAATTATTTATTATAACAATCTATTTCATATGTAATTTGCTTTCTATTCTTACAAGCAGTCCTCAGTTAATGACAGCAACTGGAATTTCCATCACTAAGGTGTAAAGTGATGTCATGTGACTGCATTGCTGAGTAATGACAATCTCAGCAGTTCTCTTTGCCAATGTTAAGTGAGAATCACGGGTCATTAGGCAAGGTCCCCCTGGTAATTTCCTACCAGGTTCCAGGAAGCAAAATCAGTGGGGAAGCTGGCGGGAAGTCACAAGTCCTGGAGGTTTGCAAGCAGGCTGGTGGGCAGGTAAGTGGTTGCTATGGGAGCTGCTGCAGCCCAGAGTGAGTGCAGTTAGTGGCTGCTGCTGACTGGAGCAAGCCAATCAAATTGCACAAGTTGTTCCATAGTCTTGCAAGAGTCTCCAATCCTTGCATGGCCAGTAGCTGCCTTGTGAAGGGCCAGGCTGGGCATATCTCATCAGCAGTGGGAGGAAGAAGATGGAGAAGGCCCCCGGGGCAACATAAGTGGCAGAGCACAGGGCAGATTGGGGAAAGTTGAAGATCACCCTGTGATTGTAAATGTGGGGAGCTTGACAAGCACTCAAATTTTGATCATGTGACCCCAGAAGCACTGCAGCAACAGGCATAACTATCACTCATTTAGTCATGTCGTAACAAATGATTGTTAAGTGGGGCCCTACCTGAATTTATTGTTTTATTACAGCCAAGCCACTCTACTTATGCCTGTACATCTTGCCAGTGGGAGAGAAAAGAGTCAGAACATTGGAGAAAATGACCAGATAATGCTGGAATATTTAATTTAAGGGAAAGAAAGCCGAATGTAGCCAAATGTATCCTGGACGTCCCAAAACAGATGTTAAAACACCCAAAGTGATGCTAAATGGAAGGAAGAAGCAATGGGCCCTCACACGGAGGGAAGTCCTAAAGCATGAGGTGATAAAAGCACAATTGCATATAATTTTAATCAGGAGGAATCAAAGAAAAAGCCAGCATGATTGCCCATAAAATTTAATGAAGAGTTGAAAACGCAGAGAGAGAGGGGGGGGAGAGGGAGAGAGAAATGGAAAGAAGGTCAGGCCACAAAGGGCAAAGAGACAAGTAATCCTGAACTGAAGAACAGGAGGAAAATGAGAGCCCAGAATGTGCTGACATTAGAAAAAAGGATGCTAATAAAAACAAAAGGGGCTTTTAAAGATGTGTTCAAATGAAATTCCGAAGAAAAAGAATCAATATATCAACTGCCCAGGGAAGGTGATAAAATGCTAACAGGTAAGTGGCAAAGTAGGGGCAGATTTACTTAAGATATTGTGTGGTTCATTCTTTAGTAAAGAATTACTGGTTCCTCTGGAAGTTAGGAAGAACAGGTGAATTCATACTTCAAGATTAGATGAATTGAATATTTTTAGAAAAACTAACTAGATGGCCTTCCTGAATCCTCTTTGAGAGAAAGAGAGAGAGAGAGAGAGAGAGAGGGAGGGAGGGAGGGAGGGAGGGAGAGAGAGAGAGAGAGAGAGAGAGAGAGAGAGAGAGAGAGAGAGAGAGAGAGAGAGAGAGAGATGACAATAGATAGATAGATAGATGATAATAGATAGCAGTGGTAGGTTTCTACCAGTTCGCCCTAGTTCAGGCAAACCAGCAATGGTAGGAGGTTCCGCCCACCCACCCAGACATCATCACAGACGCTCTGCATATGTGCAGGAGGTTCTGCACATACGCAGAAGTGCCACACGTGAGCGAAGCAAGCGCACATGCGTGCTCCCGATTCCTTACTGGTAAGCAAAGGTAAGTGGAACCCAGTACTGATAGATAGATAGATAGATAGATAGATAGATAGATAGATAGATAGATAGATAGATGGATTGATCCTGAAGAACCAAAGTGTCAGATGACTGGAGGAGAGCCAATGGGGAACAAGGAAGTAAACTAGAGGCTAGTCAGTCTGACTTTCACTTCTAGAGGGATTCTAGAATAGATCATAAAGAGAAGCAGCTTAAAAAGAATGGGATGATTAGACTTAAACAAACATGGATCTGCAAAGAGACAATCTTTCCAGACTCATCTTAACTCTTTTTTTTTTTTAAAGGTAACTGCTTTATTAGATTATGGAATTGATCTAGGTATAGTGCAGCTTGATTTTGGCAAAGCATTTGTAAGTCTCTTGCTACAACGATCGGTAGGCTAATGAAAGTATAGGCTGGGTGGCATCAAAATTAAGTGGACATATGGCTGGCCTGAAAACTGCATTCAAAGAGAGCTCATCAGTTCCTTATCAAATAGGAAAGAGGTATAAAGCGGGATGCTCCAAGAATCAGCTCTTTATTCCAGGGGTTCCCAATCCCGGGTCCATGGACCAGCACTGGGCCACGGCATGCCAGAAACCAGGCCACAGAAAAAAGCGAAACCCCATCTGCAGGATCAGGCAGCACATGAAACCACACCCGCTTTGGTCGGCGGAAAAACCTCTCTCCACAGAACCAGTCCCTGGTGCCCAAAAGGTTGGGGGGGGGCACTGCTCTATTCTTAATATTTTATTAATTATTCAGAAATGGCCGTAGCTTGCCAATGATACCACAATGGGTAGGATGACTAATGCCACTGAAAACAGAAACAATGTTCAAGACAGAACGATGTTTTATTCCAAGTAACACAATGCATTTTAAGAGGGATTTCTGTAAAGTTCTTTACAGGTAGTCCTCGACTTATGACCACAATTGAGACCAGAATTTCTATTGCTAAGCAAGGTGGTTGTTAAGTGAGTTGAGCCTGATTCGTTGACTTTTTTTTTTTGCTCTGGTTGTTAAGGAAATCACTGGAGCTGTTAAGTGTATCATGCCATCGTTTCTTGTCATCTGGAAACATTGCAAATGGCGATTACATGCAACCACTACAAATACATGCTGGTTGCCCAGTGCCCAAATTTTGATCTCATAACCATGGAGATGTTACAGTGGCAGAAATGTGAGGATTGATTATAGGTCTTTTTTTATTTCCCCAGTGCAGTTGCAACATTGAACGGTCACTAAACAAATGGTTGTAAATTAGCTCAAGTTTGGTGCTCAGTTATGGACACCAGAAAGTTCAGGGAAATTGAAAAGCCTCCAAAAAAGGCATCAGAGACTAGAAATTGAATCCTATAAACAAAGCCTTGAGGAGCTGGGTATATTTAATCTTGAGAAAAGATTATTGGGACAGCTATGATAACCCTCTTTAAATACCTGAAAGGGAGTCCCATATCAGGACCTGTTCCAGAATGCGGAAACACAGAATAATGGATTTCAATTACAGGAAGGCAGACTACCATTCAACTTTAGAAAAAAAAACCTTCCAACAATAAGAATAGTAGAACCAATTATTCAGAGAGGCAATGGCATCCCTTCACTGGATGTATTGAAGTGACAGCTAGACTGCCAACTGTCTGAGATATTTTAAGATGAGTTCCTGCAAAGAGCACATGACTGATATGGCTTCAAAATGGTCCCTATTGTCATCATGACAATTCTCTGTTCTCTGTTCTCTCCCTTCATGTTCATCTGTTTTTCTTGATTATTCTCATCATAGCCATTATTGAGAGTGACTGTGGAGGATGACAAGAAAGAATCAAGAAGAATGCTAGACAAGAACAATTCACACATAACAGAGGAGTTCATTAGTGTCTGTCTCTCTGTCTGTCAGTCAGTCTATCTATCATCTATCTATCTATCTATCTATCTATCTATCTATCTATCTATCATCCATCTAATCCCGTGATGGCGAACCTATGGCACATGTGCCAGAGGTGGCACACCGAACCCTCTCCTTGGGCACATGTGTGCTGGCCAGCTGCTCTTCCAGCTGGTCTTCACACCGAGTGCCGAAACTGGAGTGCATCGGAGCCCCGGAACCCAGAAGAGAATAGAACTTGCGCGCGGTGGCCAGCTGCTCTCTTCTGGGTTCTGGCCAGAGATGGGTTTCAGCAGGTTCTGACCAGTTCTGGAGAACCGGTAGCGGAAATTTTGAGTAGTTCGGAGAACCGGTAGTAAAAATTCTGACTGGCCCCACCCCCATCTATTCTCTGCCTCCCGAGTCCCAGCTGATCGAGAGGAAATGGGGATTTTGCAGTAACCTTCCCCTGGATTGGGGAGGGAATGGAGATTTTACAGTATCCTTCCCCTGGATTGGGGAGGGAATGGAGATTTTACAGTATCCTTCCCCTGCCATGCCCACCAAGCCACGCCCACAGAACCGATAGTAAAAAGATTTGAAACCCACCACTGGTTCCGACGCTCCAGCATGCATGTGCACTCGTTTTGGCACTTGGTGCCAAAAAGGTTAACCATCAGTGATCTAATCTATCTCATAAACTATCTCATAAATGGCAGCTCAGTCCAGACTAAAAAAGCACAAAAGGAAAAGATTCAAAAGATTCAAACCCACTCCACTTTGATGAACTCTCTAACAAAAGAGGGCTGGAGATATTGATGGCAGTTCTAACTTTCAATACTTCATTGTGAAATCTTGCATTAAACATCTCATCAAAATCTATGTAATCCTTACTTCTTGATCATATCCTGCTTTGGGAGGGCCTTTCAATTATGTTTTTATTTTCCTGTAGTAACTTCAGATGAGCACTGATGTTTGCCATGCAGGCAGAGCTGAAGGGGATGGGGGTGCAGGGAAAATGGGGTGATGGTTTCAGAATATAAATAGATGAATCTGGGTCTCCAAAGAAGAAACAGGATATAATAAAAAAGAATAACAATTGGAAAGCAAACAAGTCCTAATACTCATTTTAAAAGTACTAGGTACTCATTTTAAATTGTCTATAATCTGAATCTCCAAGAGAGGAAATTGGGGAGAAAAAAGCAAATCTGAAGACTGTTATTCATACAAGGATATATTTTTTTTCTGAGTGGACACTCGGTAGAGAATAATTATTTTATTAATACTTGATTGATCTTCAGTATACCAAAGGGCTCAATTTGCAAAGCAGCGTGAGACAGTAATACATTTAATTAACTGTGATAATTCACACTTGAAGGTTGACATATGCCTTAATAAAGCATTCAGATTAGTTACAGTTGATTTGTCTTTATTGAAATGGCATAAAGATCGGCATATAGTGTTATTTCACTCAATTAAAAATAATCATATGTTAATTTAACAGCTTAGCCAGTTATTTTCTTCTTGATTGCTTTAATATTTTAGCAGACAACTGACTGTTTCTGGGAGAAGAAGCTTTCCAATAGATTTCTGGGGAAGAAGAAGTGTGTAAATAATTTTTTTTTAAAAAAAATGATTAGATAGATCACTTGAAAGCACTGTGGGCCAGATAGTTCTGCTACTGCGCGTAAAAGTCCTGTATTCATTTAAAATCTCTCAAGTGAAGGCAGTAAAAACCAGTGATACAGTCCACAGTCTGCCAAGTGGCGATCTATGCATAAAAGACCTTTTGTTCATAGACTTAAAATAAATTTGTACCTCAACATAAATATGATTTATATGCTAAATTCCTCCATATGATTGTATAATGCAGCTATAGTAAACTGACAACCTACAAATAGTCCAGGGTTTAAATGTAGCTGTATCTAAGCATGGAGACTCATGTCTTCTGGATCTGCAAAATGCCCATTATTTCACTGCCAAGGCTTCAATCTTTACAGGAAATCACATCTGTGTTCGTGCATTGTCAAATGAACCGAACCTCAACAGTTGCAGGGAAAAAACAAAGCAAAATAGACCATGATCCAGTTTGTACATCATACTAAACCATAATTTAATATTCTGCATCCAAATGGGAATGAGCCTGGTGAAATGCCAAAGTCCACCGTCCATTTCTCTTTGACTTCAGCAAATTCCTCATTTGTCGCTATGCTAAACTCTGAAGTGAGACTTAAAATAAACACTAATTTAGTAGGCTAGAGTTTACTTTAAATTAGAAATGTAGATGTGGATATTAAGATTTACCTGTTGTTGCAGGCTCCAGTAATGCTTCTATACTTATTGGTTGCAGAGTTGTTTTGACACTTAGATGGTAGCATTTCAGGCACACATCCAGAAATATTGGAAACCACAAGGAAAACTTCACTAGGTAACTGATCTGGAATTTTTAAAAAATTGCCATGATTCTTCCGATCAATAATATTTTACGAATAGCAAACCTTATCACAGAGTATGATAGATTGGTTTAAGGATTTAATTTCAAAGACATGGTCCTACAAGGTCTATATGACTTTTAAAAAAAACTCCCTACTGCACCCAAGGCAGGTGCTGTAGGCAGTTCTGATATTTTGAAAACAAGTCATTAGTCTATTCCAAGCCACAAACAAAGCTCTGAGCTAGTGCCTTCATCTTTATTATTCTAAAATATCCAACTTTTCAAAATGTGAGTGCTTGGCTTGAACGGTAGGACAGTTCCAAATAGTACAGACATTGTCAACTTCATGAAGAGACTGATAACAGTTCACAAACTGAGATTTTTGCCATATGTTCCAGCTTCTTAGGCTTAAGAGAGTGTTGGCTCGCTCCTAGCTTCCCTTCAAATAATCTTAGATGTGATAGGAAGTTTTTCAAGCTCTGGAAAGAAAACAATTTCAAAAAAAAAGTGTCTCCATCTGAACTGGATATTCCAGGTTGTTTCTTCTGTAGAGATAAATTAGACAATCTGTCCTCATCTGCATATCTGTGTATCCATTAGAATTCTGATTAATATTAGTAGAATCCGAAGAACCAAGCCCAATGATGTATTTTGAGCATTTGCTATAAGAGAAATTCTTTTTTATGGAGTGAAAATTGCCAGTTGGGCTTGATTATCAGGATATACACATCCTTTCTGTTCAAGTATTTGTTGAATTGCTTAACTCCCGAAACCAAACACAGCTGTTTCCTGTCTGCTTCTGCCTAGTTCTTCTGTACAGCTATAAGAGAGCATTATGGGAAAGCAATCTCTCAGGACACATGAGATAACGATGACCATATTAGTTGTGAGGAATCACATGCCAGTTTCACTGATTAATATGGGCTATAAGGTGGTAAGCATCATATATGATGTCACCATTTTCTTTGAAAGCTTCTCATGAAGCGCTTGATAACAAAAAAAGATTCCTGATTCTTGTGAAGAGAAGTCTTCTATAAACAGATTTATGAAAGAGAAAATGGATTAGGTACAGAAATCTTGATGACTAGATACATTCGCTTGTAGATCCCAGTGTATCTCTGAATTAATGATACTGGTTAAGACAGTATTCATCTGGTTCAGTGGTGGGATTCAAATTTTTTTACTACCAGTTCTGTGGGTGTGGCTTGGTGGGCGTGGCATGGCTTGGTGGGTGTGGCTTGCTGGACATGGCAAGGGAAGGATACTGTAAAATCTCCATTCCCTCCCCACTCTAGGGGAAGGTTAATGCAAAATCCCCATTTCTTTTTGATCAGCTGGGACTTGGGAGGCAGAGAATAGATGGAGACAGGGCCAGTCAGAGGTGGTATTTACCAGTTCTCCGAACTACTCAAAATTTCTGCTACTGGTTCTCCAGAACTGGTCAGAACCTGCTGAATAGCACCTCTGATCTGGTTCCCTGATAAGGAAAAACATGCAAGTGTTCCAAATATGTTTTTTCCTGAAACCCCCAAGTTGTAAGAAGATCATAACATCTCTTCTCAATGTTTCTCCACTATCGTCTCCTACCCAGTTGTAATAATCTATTCAAGGACTGACACATTAGCTTGATGGTTAAATTGTCAAGAATTGGTCATAATAATTAATGCATACTAAAAAGAATTATGGCCGTGACATATTTTGGGTCATTCACAAGTACATGATTTTTCTCTGCATACTTCTGTAGGCCTTGTGCATCTATGGTATGACTCCCCTTTGTTATACTAGTTTTAAAGATTTTGTGTTTGTTGTGCCATGCTCAAATACCATGTTCTACTAATCTCTGCAAAGCTGCCTAGAGATTATGAAGAATCACCTAGCAATTTTCTCCAATAATTGTGTTGTCATCTAAATAGCTCAAGGGGCTTGGACAGCTTTAAAATACTTGGTCTATTGCTTTCTGCAAAAGTATTGATGCTGATGCTAGACTTAAATCAAATGTTGCAGATCCATTGCAATTTCTGCATAGATTTCATGAGAAATATATAAAAACTTCATCCATTTCTATCTGTAAAAAAACCATTTTAGGTCTATTTTGTGAAATATTGTTCTCCAATGTGATTAGCAAAAATATCCTCACTTCTTATTGTACCACTAGTAGTAATGATTTAATGGTAACTTTAAAATATCCACAGATCTGACATATGCTCTTCTTAGCTGTGGAAACCACAGATGTAGAAATATGGGCTCTAATAAACTTTTCAAGGGATTCCCTCAAACTTTCTTCTGATTCACTTCAGTTACCATTTTCTTGCATGCTCTTCTGTTTTATCTTTGATGTCCTTAAGTGGGTCAATGCTATTTTTGAACACGGTTGTCTTTGTCACAGAAAGTATAGTAGTATATGCAAGCTATTGATGGGGTCTTAAGAATTACAATCTATACAGGTGGGCCAAGGGAAATGAGCAGCCATACAAGATCACAGCTCTGGTTGATTAACCTCTAACAATGTAATCCAATACTGAATGCCAGTGCATAACAATTTAGGGACAGTGTAGTCTTTCCCTCTTCTTGCTTGGCCATAATTGTATGTACACATCAAGAGATTAGCCATTTCCGACACAGCTGTCACATTCATAGCCTGTTGACTCACTGTATAGGGAGTGAATGGTTTAAACTATGCAAATAAATAATATAAGCACAAAAAGCTTAAATACCAATTGCTAATTTTGCATGAATGTCCCTTGGCATTTAGAGAAATAAAGAAAAATATTTTTTAAAAACTCAAATGCTTGTTACTTTCTGAAATGTCTGTATATACGGCTAGAAATGGTACAACCCCTTTATTTCTAATAAACTGTATGCAAAAAAAAACAGCAACTATTTAAATATCCTGAAAAATAAATTATGTTCATCATTACATACAGGATTCATGAGTCCCTGTTATTTGGCAAACTTGATTTTTTCCCCCCCGAAGCCCAAATACAGTTTTATAAGAGTTTTCTTTTCTCTCTTTCATTTTCTTTCTTTTTTTTTTAAAAAAAAAATCAAACATTTAAAGTGTTTAGCTGGGACTTCAAGCTCTGCTATAAATTTAAGTCTGACCTATGGCAATTTTTTTTTTAAAAAAATAAAATAGTACTGCTTTAATCTAAGAGACACAACCCTCTCAAGCAACCACAGGGTTCCATTCCCAGTATTATCCTTATGTATTTATTCACCATTCGGAGACAGCATGCGTTTATGCTTCTGATGTTTTCCTTTCAAGTCTTGCGTGGAAGTTTCAATTTTTTCAGCTGCTCGAGATAAAACCTCGGCTTCTTCTTCCGGGTAGTTAGGAAACGGTGCATAAGCCACTGTTTGACTTCTTTGGTGAAGACTACAACAGAAATAATAATAAAAAAGAATAATAGCATTTTAATTATACTGGGTTTAGATGTGCACTGGGAAAGCAAGAAATAGAAGTCTCTTTTATTATTGCCAGGAAAAATGCTTAAACAAACACATTTGTCCAATAGAAAGGGAGGCATTATATGACTTATATTTCTGTGAACTAGATTACTGTTCATCAGCATGGCTTTAAGTATGCAACTTAAAAACTTAAATTGAATATATTTTCTGCTGGCTTTTAACATTAATGCCAATATTTGATGTTTGGCTTGCTCCTTTGGGTATTAAGGATAGTCTGCAAGAACAAATGGAATGGACCCTTCCCTTCCACTAATATTTACCTACTGATTATTTGCTGAAATTTGATTTTCTTTCTCTTCTGTCTATGAGTTTTGGCATCACTTTCAAAAACTTTTCCAGGATGGAAAAGTTGAGATGATCGAGATTACTACATGTGGAAAAATTGTATGAAGGTAGATTGAAGCATTTGGCATGAAATGTGAGGGAGTTAAAAACGCACAGGCACATACCCATCTGAATCAGAGCCTATATTGTACGGAAAGAAAACTCTTACAAAATGTGGCACAAAACTTTTTCTATTTCATTCATAACTTTTAACGTTGATGATTGTAGAATAATTCACAATGCTTACTGACCTTCTGAAATATCATTTGCTTCTTTGGGGCATATAAATTGATTTTTCCACTTCTTTGAGCGCCATATGGCTCTTTTGTATCCTCATCGGGATACAAAGCAACAACAGCAACAACAACAATCAGCTGAGAGGATGAGATATAAAAAGACATTTTCTGCAGAAGCGGTTGCAGAATAATCTTTTTTGGGGGAAGTTTAGTTTTGCTTTTGTCTCATAAGTACATTATTTAGTACTTGTATGAGACTGGGGAAAAAAATCTGAACAATCTTTTACCAAAGTATAAAGGGACAAATTTTGTGTGCAGAATATTTTATCAACTCCAGTCGAAACCACGTTTTCAGTTACTATAAGAACAAACTACTTGATGTATCAAATGGCTAACACCCAGCTGCTCTTCTATTGTTATGTTTCTTTATATCAGAGAAAGAACACAATGATTTGATTTAGTTTGGGGGTCTCCATTTTCCTTCAGAAATTTACTTCTATATAAGAATTTTTTTTAAAAAATAACAAGGAAGGAGAATTTAAAAGAAAACCTTGTGGATAATATGCATTTAAAAATAAAATATTTGGGACATGGTTGGAAGTATTTTTTAATTCCATCCCCTGATACATGGAAGTTTCGATCCAAATTCGACCACGGGAAAAAAAAAATAGCAGAATGCTACATTGTTGTATATGGGTAGTTGTCCACTTACAACAGTTCATTTAGTGACCATTCAAAGTTACAACGGCACTGAAAAAAGGAACGTAGGACCGTTTTTCACAGTTACGGCTTTTTACAGCATCCCCACAGCCATGTGATCAAAATTCAGATGCTTGGCAACTGGTTCATATTTATGACCATTGCTCTATCCCCAGGTCATGTGATCATCTTGTGCGACCTTCTCACAAACAAAGTCAATGGGAAAGCCAGATTCACTTAACAACCAGATGACTAACTTATCAACTGCAGTGATTCATTTAACAACAGTGGCAAGAAAGGTCATAAAATGAGCAAAAACTCACTTAACAAATGTCTCACTTAACAACAGAAATTTGGAGCTCGGTTGTGGTCATTAGTGGAGGACTACCTGTACGGTGTACAGAATACACAATTTCATCTCTTGTGCAAGCAATGGGGTTTAATCAGCATCATTTATTTTGTTGATTAAAATAGGATCGCTCCAGCCATTCTAAAGGAATGAAAATGAACTTTTTCTCACTTTCCTCTACAGCTCCTTGTGCTGTCTAGCAGGGTTTATACAATGTACTTAATCAGGTCTCTTGAAGATCAAGCAATTGCGCTAAATAATTCATTAAATTTATATGCCCATCTCACTTGCAGATGACCGCATACAGTTAAAACACAAATCATACTCTTCCATCATTAAATACAATTGAAAATTAAAAGCTACAATAAAAAAATACAATAAAAAGATAGATTTCCTGCTTCCTAGTGAATACATGGCACACCGGTCGGAAATACCGGTTCGTCCGAACCGGTAGCATTTTTTTTACTACTGGTTCACCCGAACCGGTAGCATTTATTACTACCAGTTTAGGCAAACCGATCCAAACTGGTAGCATTTCACCCCTACTGTCCACCCATCTTATTTCGCAGGCCATACACAAAGAGGCAGCAGGCTGGATTTGGTCCAAGTATTCAAAGGCTAATGCTTCTCTATTTTCTCTGGCAGAGTTTTAGAGAATTCAATTATTTCTGTATCAAAGTGAACGCAGAGTCATTTCTGAATTAAGATGAACGTGCCCATTGATATTGGCAGCCTTTGTAATGATTTCAGCAAATAAATGCCATGTGCCATTCACAGACACAGCATTGTGTTTGGGTTTTTAAAATGTAATTAACAAAATAGCTATGCTACAAAGTAAATCCATTTGGCCAACAGGGTCCTCCTTCAAGTTCAAATAAAATGAAATCAATTTTTGTTCACTTGGCTGAAGTACTTTCAAGTCTTAGTTCATAAAAATCAGCAAACGTAACCCTGAGATCCTGTGTATAGAATTATTAAGAGTTTTTCAGGCTGTAACTAAATCAGAAACTGCCTCTTCAATTCAAGAGTCCTTTTTCACTCTCAAGGGTAGCATTGAAACTTACTGGCATTGCATGGCTGCAGTTTTTCAATGAGAAATCTAAACACTTGAGTTTTCACAGTGCTGAGAATGCTGTTGCTTTGTGAAGATCTGATTTAAAATAATATATCTCCTTTTTTTTGTTTTCTTTCCTCCCCTGTAACAGTTGGCATTCTCATAATACATTCCTGAGGCTTCAAATAAAAAAATTCTCAACCTGGACAATACCTATCTTCACTAAAGAACAAGTATCTTCCAAAATCCTTTCAAGTCTTTCCAGATTTTCCCCCACCACCACTTTCAAAAATATTTTCAAGTGATATTTTATGGAAAATATGAATATCTAAAGTAATTATGCTATGGAAAGGAAACATATTTGAAAGGTTACTAAGCTGCACGAAAGCTTGTAGTTACATTTCTAGACAATGATGTATATGCTACCAAAGAAGATACAAATATAAATGTTTGGACTTAGAGTCCATATGATTTTTTAAATTCAGTTTCTGTGGAGAAGGATAAAACCAAAAACCACACAATGTTCAGAGTGACCATTTTATCCTCATATTTTTGATAGTTCTTTTGAATAGTTAAAAGCGGTGGTGGGTTGCCCCCAGTTTGGAACCGGTTCTATAGAACCGGTAGTAAAACTGGTGGGAGGCTCCGTCCACTGACCCCAACCTCATCAAAATGTGAGCGAAGCAAGCACACGCGCGTGGCCCTGTTGTGAACTGGTAGTACAGGTAAGTAGAACCCACCCCTGGTTAAAAGGTATTAGAATGCCACTGAGTTGGGCTGGGCCGCTATGCTGTCTATACCACCTGGACAATACCTATCATAGCACCAATCCATAGCTTAACAGAATACCAGAGTTGGAAGGGACCTTGGAGGTCTTCTACTTCAATTTCCTGTTCAATCAGGAGACCCCCTAGACCATATCAGACAAATGATTGTCCAATCTTTTCCTAAAAATCTCCAGTGATAGCACACCCACAACTTCTGGAGGCAAGTCATTCCACTGGTTAATTGTTCTGTCAAGACATTTCTCCTTAGTTCCAGGTAAATTTTGTCCTTGGTTAGTTTCCATCCGCTGCTTTTTATCCTGTCTTCAGGTGTTTTGGAGAATAGGTTGAGCCCTTAGATATTGGAAGACTGTTATCCTGTCACCTCTAGTTGTTCTTTTAATTAAACTAGATATATCCAATTCCTGCAACCATTCTTCATATTTTTTAGCCTCAGGTGTTCTTATCATCTTTCTTGGTGTTCTCTGCATGCTTTCTTAGAGTCTCAATGTCTTTTTATATATCCTGTCCACCCATCTCATCTCTTGACTTTCCTAAGTCTAACCAAGCCCAGTTGCTTTCTTCAATCATCTGTATCACATGGCCAAAGTCACTAGAGTATCCTGTCTTTAGTTGTCTAGGACTCATTGACTGGTTCTGTTTGTAGTCTACACTATTATTAATAATGGTCCCCAAATCCCTAATTCAAAAGCATCTATCTTCTTTTCTTCTTTTCTTTTATGTATTCAGTTCTTTACCATTGGAAACCCATTGCCTTGTCTAGCATTGTCATAGAAATATTCTAACCTTTTTTTGATTTGGCCGATTCCATCTTCCCACTGCCTATCCCTATCTATTTCTGATCCCCTTTATTGCCTTCACATCTATGTTATCAATAAGATGTTTGCTAAGCATGCTGGTTGACATGACCTTTGAATCCTCTCCCTCCCTGCCATCTTTCATTTTCCAACTTTTACTCAAAATGATTTTACTTCAGGTAACAAGGTGACATCCCCTTTATACCTCAATTTGTTGGCATATTAATTTCCAATTTTGGTTCTGGTTGCCGTCCCTTCCGGTCCTGTCAAGTTTATAAAATATTTGCTGTGCAAGTTAAACAGGGATGAGAACAAGGGCTGTACTGTATTCTTTCTCTAGTCTTCATACTCTTTTCTCTCGGCTTCTGAAAGTGTTTCTCAAAAGACAAGAGTCCTGGTACACCTGTTACTTGTAATAATATATTTCATGTTCACAGTCCAAAACCATGCTTATAGTCAATAGAGCAAATATTTTTTTTCTTAACTGTCCCAAAGGGAAAAAAAATAATTGCAGACTACAGGTGACCCTAAGGACACAGATTAACCTCCGTGTGCTTGGAGTGACTACTCAGGTGACCCTGAGGACACAGATAAACCTCCAAGTGCTTCAACAACCCTTTAAAAAGATGCAAATGACCAGCTCTCTGCAAGGAATATAAATCCT